TTATCCTGCTTAAATGGACGCTCCCCCCTGCCCCCCATGACCAGCCTTCTTGTATATATTGTTTACCAGAAATTATTATTATTATTATTTATTAGGTTTATATCTCACCCTCCCCGCTTTACAGCAGGCTCAGGACGGCTTACACTGATTAATACAAACAATTAAAATCACATAAAATCATGTAAAACAATTCAGTCATAAACAATCACAATTTATAATGTGCTGCATGATAAATTAGTTGTTATGAGCAGTGTTCCCTCTAAGCTGAGTTAGTGTGAGCTAGCTCACAGTTTTTTAGCCTCCGGCTCACATGTTTTTGTCTTAGCTCAGGAAGGATGGCTCCAGAGCAAACTAACTTATGCAGTAGCCAAATCGCTTGCTCACAGATTTAAAGCCAATAGCTCACAAAGTAGGATTTTTGCTCACAAGACTCCACAGCTTAGAGGGAACATTGGTTATGAGATGGCGTACATTGAGAGTGTACACAAAGACTCACCATCATTTTGCTCCTGATCTTAACGCTCAGGCGGTGCAGGCTAGATGTCAAGGGCCAAGGGCCAGGACTATAGCTGTTACTATGATTTTAATGTGGTTAATGTAGTGGCGGCTTCTAATTATAGGCCTGGTGGAAGAGCTCCGTCTTGCAGGCCCTGCGGAATTGTAAAAGATCCCGCAGGGCCCTGATCTCCTCCGGGAGCTCATTCCACCAGGATGGAGCGGCCACTGAGAAGGCCCTGACCCTGGTAGTTGCAAGCCTAGCATCTTTTGGGCCCGGGAGGGTCAATCGGTTTTGTGACCCCAAACTGTAGTGCTCTCTGGGGTAGATATGGGGAAAGGCTGTCCCTCAGGCATGTCGGACCCTGGCCATAAAGGGCTTTAAAGGTAAGAACCAGCACCTTGAAGCAAATTCAGTATGCTATTGGCAGCCAGTGCAGTGACTTTAGCACAGGTTGGATGTGTTCCCACCTGGGGAGACCCATCAAAAGTCTGGCCGCAGCATTCTGTACTAGCTGCAGCTTCCGAATTTGCAACAAGGGTAGCCCCATGTAGAGAGCGTTACAGTAGTCTAGTCTTGAGGTGACCATTGTGTGGATCACTGTTGCCAGGTCATCGCGGTCGAGGAAGGGAACCAACTGCCTAATTAGCCAAAGATGGTAGTAAGCTGACCTGGCAGTGGCTGCTACCTAGACCTCCATTGATAAGGAGGCATCCAGGAACACTCCCAAATTCCTCACCAATGGTGCCCCATCGAAGGTTGGGAGTGGGATCCCCACTCCTGCACCGCCCCAACCCAGGCACAGGACCTCCTTCTTCATTGGATTCAGTTTCAGCCAACCAGCCACAGCTTGTAATGCCTGGTCCAGGCCTTCTGGTCTGGAGCTGGACAGGCCACCCAACATCAGATAGAGCTGGGTGTCATCAGCGTACTGGTGACAACCCAGCCCATGCCTCCGGGCAATCTGGGCAAGGGGGCGCACGTAAATGTTAAACAACATCGGGGAAAGCACAGCCCCTTGAGGCACACTACATTCCAGTGGGTGCCTCTTGGACTGCTGTTCCCCTAGTGCCACCCTTTGTCCCCAACCATGGAGAAAGGAAGCGAGCCATTGCAGGGCAAGCCCCTGAATTCCAGTGTCGGCGAGGTGGTGTGTCAGTAGCTGGTGGTCGACCGTGTCGAACACCACCGACAGGTCCAAAAACAACAGCACTGCCACTCTGCCCCGATCGAGATGGGCGAACAGCACCGTCTCTGTCCCATGCCCAGGATGAAAGCCAAACCGGAAGGGAGCTAAGATGGAAGTGTCATCCAAAAAGCTCCGTAGCTGAGTCACCACTGCAAATTGGAAACCGGCTGATAGTTGGCCAATTCAGCCGGATCCAAAGATGTTTTTTTCCGGAGAGGGCGGACCACTGCTTCCTTGAGCGTCCCAGGGAACTGACCTTCTGTGAGGGACTTGTTGATAATCTCCCTCAGGGTGCCTCAGAGCCCATCACAGCCCGCTTTAATTAGCCATGACGGGCACGGATCAAGACAGCATGTGGCAGGGCAAACAGCTAGGAGCAATTTGTCAACTTCCTCTAGACTGAGTGGGCTGAAATGATCCAAAACCAAAATCAAAGACATGCGTGAAGCCTCAGGCTCGCTCACTGTTTCAATTGTGGCAGGGAGGTCAAGGCGGAGCGACAAGACTTTATCTGCAAAGTAGCTCACAAAAGCCTCACAAGCCTATATCAAATTCTCTAGCATTTGGCCTGCCCTGTGTTTGTGTAGTTATCGACTGAATTGTTCTAAATAATTGGGCTGGGCGTGAGCTCGTAGATGCAATCATGGCCGTGTAGAACTCTCTCTTCGTGGCCTTGACTGCCATCTCATAAACGTCCTATAAGATGCTCTTGTAGCTTCATCTCGAGCGCACCGCCACCGTCTCTCTAGCCGTCTCAGCTCCCATTTCATAAGCCACAACTCCTGGGTGAACCAGGGAGCAAGCCTAGAGCGAGAGCACAGAGGGCACCTGGGAGCGATCTTGTCGATGGCCACGGATAGTCGGCTATGGCAATCTCCTACAAGCTCGTAGAGCCATCTGGAACCGCACTGGGTCCATCTGGTTCCGCGGGCGAGATAAAATATGTTCGCCATCTAAACAGGGTTGGGGTGAAACATTCAAATGGGTCCTCAGGGCATGGTGGTCCGACCATGGGACTTCCTGAGCAGTAACCCGGTCCACTGTTACCCCCATGCGAAGATGAAATCGAGCGTGTGCCCAGCCTGGTGAGTGGGGGTCATTACATATTGGGAGAGTTCTAGTGCTGCCATGGACGACACCAGGTCCGCTGCCTGAGTGGAGGTCGCGTCATCAGCATGGACACTGAAATCACCCAAGACAATAAGTCTAGGGTGTTCCAATGCCCAGCCTGACACAGCCTCCATCAGGGATGGGAGGCTATTGTCCAGTGCGTTAGGCAGTCAGTACGCCAGCCAAATTGCCAAACTCTCCCCGGCCTCCCATACCAGGCCAGCACACACTATGCCCGTGATCTTTGGCGGTGGGAGTGCCCTGAAGGAGTAAGCCTCCCAGATGAATAGAGCCACTCCTCCCCCCTGCCTCCTAGTCTGCAATTGGTGAAGGACTGAGAACCCAGGAGGGGCTAGCTGGGAGAGAGCTACTGTCTCCCCTTCCCTCACCCAGGTCTCGGTCATGCACGCCAGGTCTACATTCTGCTCTTGCAGAAAGTCCTGGAGGACCATGATCTTATTATTTATAGACCTGGTGTTACACAGTGCCAATGTTGGAGGGGGGTTATCCATCATAGCCCCTCTGCCAACATCGGGATGGGACGCAGGCTGGAAGAGGGCTGAGCTTTTCTATTTCTCCACCCTCTTCCTTTATCACCCTGCCTGGTCCCACCGCTGTATTTTCCCCTCCCCAGGAGCACCGGAATCCCTTGGCGCAGCGTTCACATCCACCGAGTTCCAAGACTTCACCAGGTACTACGGGATCCACCATGTCCGATCGGCCCCTTTCTATCCGGCCACCAATGGCCAGGCGGAGCGCATGGTGAGAACTACCACAGACGCACTTCCCAGGATGGACTCCAAGGACTGAGACTATAAACTGGCCGCCTTTCTCTTTGGCCAATGAACAACTCCTCACACCACAACAGGACGCAGCCCCGTGGAGCTCCTCCTAGGGTGCCGCCTGATGACCAAGCTGGACTGCCTACACCCTGATCAGGCTCCTGAACAGGAACCGGACACAGAGACATGGAAGGCGGCCAGGAAATTCTTCCCGGAGGATCCCGTGTACGCTTGAAATTATGCATGCCCCCCCCTGGATTCCAGCATGGGTTGTGAGAGTGACAGGACCTCGATCCTACGAGGTCTCAGGGGAAGATGGTCAGCTGTTACGGCACCACATCGATCAGCTGCGCCAACGAGTTCTCCCTCTGGACCCAAAGGACTTCATGGACACAGAAGCCTCCGAGACAGCGGCCACCACACAGCCACAGCCTACATTGGTTCCTGCCGACGAGGAGCCCAGTCTCCCTCCCACCGCTCAGCCAGCTGACAGCACGCACACCCTGAGCGAGGTGCCACCGCCCAAGCCAACTCCGCTGCCGATGGCGCACACTACGCCGAGTGCCTCGGCCCCTGCTGCTGCAACCAAACTATGCCGTTCCTCTCAGGAACAGAAGGCACCGGCTTACCTTAAAGACTTTGTGCATGGGTGTGTTTTGGACTATGGGGGGTGGGGTGTAATGTATCTAGACCCGACCACGTGTGAGGTTAGATCTCCACACGGTCATACGAAGCCTTCGAGCTTCACTCCGGGAGGCAATGGCCCAAGCGGATCCTAGCCCACGCCAATCGGAGGGCTAGGCTTCTGGTCTGGACCTATGGAACTCTCGGCCACTGTATATAGCCTATTACTAGAGTGGGGGGGTGTTCGGGGAGTGGGTTACTGGGCATATAAGCCGGCCTGCGAGCCAGGAAGTTTGTTTGTTCTGAACTTCTAATAAAGTATGAGAGCTGAAATCACTTGCCGGTGGCAGGGGCTTGGTCCCTCTATCATAGTAGACTTTCTTTCACTGTTGGAGATGGCGAAGGCATGGGATAGTGTGGGGGACAATGCTGGTAAAGTTGCAAGCAATGTACTCCGCAAAAGTTGTCCCATTAATAATTGGGCAGGAGAGAAGGGAAGGCCCATCACTGGAGTATTCTGGAGGTTGAGCAAGGCCAAATGGGATCTGTGCCCTCTTGGAGTGTTTTTAAGAGTACATGTTTAACATTTTGGACCACGTGCTTAGCTAACCCATTGGACTGAGGATAATGAGGACTGGAGTATGTCAAGATGATACCCCATTCCTTGGTGAATTGCTGCATAACCTGACTTGCAAAAGGAACATGATCAGACACCATTTCCCTGGGAATGCCATGATGTACAATGAAAGACTTCAGCATGGCAACATCAGTACAGCCTGTTTTGTCTGGAAGCAAAAACAAAGTACTCAGAATAATAATCAGTTATCAAGAGGTAAGAGTGTCCTTGAAGTTCAGAAATGTCAGTTGCCACCTTAAACTGAGGGAGGTCAGAATAATAATCAGTTACCAAGAGATAAGATTGTCCTTGAAGTTCAAAAATGTCAGTTGCCACCGTAAACCGAGGGAGGTCAGGGACTGAATGTGGTAGCATGACTTCTCTGTGATTGGCAGGCTGCAAGGACAGACATTGTTTGATATGGGCATTCATGTTGGGCTAGTACATGAGAGGTTGAGCCCATACTTTAGTGCACTGGATTCCTTGATGCGGTAAGTACAGTAACTTCAACATGTCATGTCTGATGTAGTAGGTATTACTTCTCCTCAGGGGATTAGAAACATCACTTCAGCACTGAGGTGAAGTTCTGCCAACCCTGGGGAAGTGTCCACATAAGTTCTGAGCAAACTACCCAGCAAGGTTGGTGCTAGACTCCCACACCATGGGACCCAGCAACTCCCCTAAAAGTGTCCAGCGAACCAGTCAAACACTATCTGTAGCCCGGTTACTCACAAACACAGTAACTGTAAATTAGGAAAGATTTATTTACAAAGAAAAGTTTTAGAGTCCAATACAACAGGAAAATAAGAAAATCTAAACACTTACCTAGCTCAGTACTTTGAAACAACTATGGTCATTATTTTAAAACATACCTACATAATACTTAGCTGTAAAGCATTCCAACAAGCAGAGACCAGATAACAAGTTCACTCCTTTATGATGAATGATGAACAATGAGATATCGCACACCTCAGACATAGAAACCAACCCCTTCCCTCAAAACTGACTTTGGTTATACCATTCTAAAGCCATGACTCCAGCTGACCAATAAGATGCTGATATCAAAGCAATTTACACTTTAACCTTCCTATTGCCCTTTAGCTGTTCTTACCATTATATGTCAAATAGTTTGGGACTGATGCTGCAAGTAATAACCTTGCTCTTGAGACAAACTTCTACTTGGCAACACTACATTTCTCCCTTATGCTCCTTTAACAAGGGTGTAAAGAAATGCATTTTCTCCTGGGAGGTTGGCAAGCAGCAAACTTCTACTTGGCATTTTAAAAAATTTTCTTCTCTCTGGGCAGGGAAGTCTGGGCAATGGCTTTCCAGCTTACCTTTATACATATGATAATGGTTCTGACTGGAGAGGTAATGGGTGGGTCAAAATCTCCCCCATTCTCGTAGCAGGGAATAGAATTTGGAGGACTTTAAACTAGAACAACTCCATGGAGAATCTCCAGGAAGGAGGTAGAGGAAATGCTTCTCTGACATGGACTGACTGGGTCAAGTGGGAGGGGGAAACAAAGGCTCTCTTTCTTTGGGATGCTACATCCAGGAGGACTCTGAGCTCTTGTCTGCATGCAGGCAGCCATTGGACATGTGCTCACCTGGAGAAGTTGTTGTTGTTGTTATATATAGGTGCATCCTTTCCCCCCTCCCTTTACCACCTATTATCTCTGGTGAGTTTCTTCATACCCTCAATGCATCTGATGAAGAGAGCTGTGTTTCTCGAAAGCTTATGCTACAATAAAGTTTGTTAGTCTTAAAGATGCTACTGGGCTTTCTACTATTTTACAACTCAGATATCAGTAATTTCTAAGATGGTCCCCCAACCCTGCACACATTGGTAATGATCATTCATAACAGATTAGAGAAATTTCTTTCTCTAACAAGCCATATGGCATTTGTTCTGTACAGATTATGAAAAACGTGCGAGCTATGAGGTTCTGGGACTTAGTCTGTGGGGTAGCTTACCTGCAGCTTCTCCTTAATGACTTTATGCTTCATGTCCTTCACATTTTCGTTCCTCTCTAAAATGGCATCATGCTCATTCTTCACGGAAAACTGTGTGTGGAAAGGTGAGCAGAATCACATGTCGTGCCCAGCTACATATTTAGCCCAAACCCATACCAATGAACTATTCAAGGGTGGACTGATCACTTAACTTACAGGGAAAACTCCCAGTGGGCCACTTCCCTAGAGGGCCATTGATGGCCAGGAGCAAGCATAGCCAAGACTCAGCAATTCTGCCAGTGCCTCAGGGGTCATTTGTCTCAGACCCCGCATCAACAATGGTAATTGGTATCAGCTCAGCAAAAGCCTTCCCCCCATTTGTTGTTGTTCAGTCGCACAGTCAAGTCCAACTCTTAGCGACCCCATGGACCAGATCACGCCAGGCCTTCTGGTCTTCCGCCGTCCTCTGAAGTTTGCTCAACTTCATGTTCGTTGCATCTATGACACTGTCTAACCATCTCATACTTTGCCGTCCCCGTCTTCTTTGACCTTCAATCTTTCCCAGCATCAGGGACTTCTCCAGTGAGTGCTCCCTTCTCATTTGGTGGCCAAAGTATTTGAGCTTCAGTTTCATTATCTGGCCTTCCAGGGAACAGTCAGGATTGATTTCTTTTAGGATTGACTGATTTGATCTTCTTGTAGTCCAAGGGACTCTCAAGAGTCTTCTCCAGCACCATAGTTCCCCCCATACCACTCCCAATTTGTGGGCAAAAAACAATGGGTAAAAACCAATGTCCATTGCTGGTGCTGCTGACGAGCACCACTGCTTGTAACACTGCAGTGGCCACAGAGCTTGGCAAGCTCCAAAGTGATTTTGGTCCACTCGTGAAACTGTATATTGGAAGAATGAAGACTCAGAGAATGCGTGTTACTGCCTCCATTTAGAAAAATATTACTAAAGCAAAAAAAAAGAAGATGAATAAATAAGCTTGTGCCCCCAGTTTTGTTTTTCATTTTAGCATTTCACACTCTTCCACAATGAACTGACAGAAAGGCAAAGAAAAATATAACTTTTTAAATTTTCACTCCACCCAGGAACATACACAAGCTCTATTCTCTAGACCTACTAGGTCTATTGATTCTAGAAATGGGTCATGAATGACATCAAACAAAACTCATCAGTCATATTGACAGCAATTAATCTTAAAGATAAGAGCAGAAAATCGATATGAAACTTTTGTCATGGATGAATTGTAACAAACATCATAGTACAAGTTTTCAGAATGTTTACTTACATTGCTGTTTTTTCTTTCCCTGGAAAAAAGAAAGTTTACTTAGATTAGCATAATAAATTAATTTCAAAAGATTTGTGACAGAAAGTAGTCACCATAAACTAGAATAGAGCCAGGGTTGTATATGCACAGCATTCAGATCAGAATTGACAGGAAATTCACACAAATGAGAATAAGAATTCACAGTTTTCCCAAGTGGGTCATTTTAAATTACAATTCTGGGACTTTATATTAGGCTATGGGGTTCTTTTCCAGTTTTGGTGGAGAGCTGTGTATTGTAGCACTCAAAATTTTGGCAACAAGGATCTTTGTAAATACCTTCTGTATTCTTCAAGATCCATTTTATCTGATTTGGTGACCACCATGGCAACGTCAGTACAGATTCCTCCGGGGAAGGCCTTGATGCTTTCTTCCAGTAACTTGGCCTGGATCTTCTCTCCTTGAACACGTTCAATGTCACTGATAATCCAGATGACTGAACATGTATTAATACTCTATTTTTAAAAATAGGAAATCAATTGTATTAGATAATGAACTCTCAAAAACCTAGGGTTGCCAGGTCCCCTCGTTGCTCTGGTGGAGGGATTTGGGGGTGTTCCACGGTGGGCAGGGAAGCCCCCCAGCCCCACCCAAGTTTCAGCTGATCTGCAGGGACCATGTGGCCCGCTGACCAGCTGGAGGGCCCTTTAAATCAAGCAGGAGGGGAGGGAGAGGGGCAGTCATGGGCCGCACATTCAGATCACAAAAAGACCCTTTTAAGGGTCTTTTTGCGGGTGGGGTGGGGTGTGTGGCATGTGGGGCTGGGGGAAAGGGTCCTTTTTGCGAGTCGAGTGTGTGGCCCGTGACACACTAATTTGAGCCAATACAAAATAATAGCAATCCATAGACGAGCCTTTGAAGTAACCATGCCAGTTTCCAGGCGAATCAAAGAATTAAAGACACCAGGAGGGACCTATAAAATATGTCTTAAAAACTTGGATTGGACTGTCTCTAAAGCCTGCCAGCGAGGTTGGTGTGGGGATATATTTAAAGGAGCCCCATACAGTAATTGGGCAAGAGGTTTGGCCCTAAAAATCTTAACTGGTGCCATTGCATTCCAACCTCCCAGGTTCCAGTAAAATTTCTCAATTGCATCCAGGCTTTTGGTTGCAGTTGTAGTAATATAATCCACGTGCGCCTTCCTGGAACCTGAGGACTGGAAAACTATTCCTAAATATTTAAAGCAGCAAACCTGCTTGATGTCTACTGCATTAATCTTCCACTTGTATAATTTTGGGTTTGCAGTTTTGACTGAATGAATGATGATGACTCTTCGTTTGAAGTGCACAGAAATAGAAAACAAGTATATTTGACCCATCATTAAAGGGATACAGGGATACATTATAGGGATACAGATAAATGTAACTGTAGGATACTATGTGAGGGAGGATGCAGAAGATATGCTTCGCATATCAAAGATCCTAGTTTCAACCCCTGGCACCTCCAGCTAAGGACTAGGAAATAGCTCCTTGAACTACTGCTGCCAACAAACTGGATGGATCAATAGCTTTGACTCCGAGTAAGACTGTTTTCAATGTTATTATTCCCCCCCAAAAGGAATTCTTCTGGGGCCCCAAAACATGGCCTTCTCTGTAGTGGCACAAGGAATGAAGAATTCTCTTCAAAAGAGGCCTGGCTGAGCTTGACTTCACGGTAATTTAGGAGGCATATAATACTGTTTTCAGTCATGCAGACAACCTATTCTGGAGTGGGGTTTCATTTCCTTATATACCATTCTATATGTTTTGTGATGCTGCATATGTCCAGGTACTTTTTTAGAAGAAATAACTGTTCCAAAATCTTCAAACCATTTGTCTGATTTAAATTACAAAGCCGGCACTAATTGACTTCTCTTTTGCATCTTCTACTTTCTACCCAGCAACACTGGCCTCTGGAAATCTTCCTCTATCCCTCCATACAAAAGAGAATATACATTTGGATTTCTGGCTTTAGTGATTTCATTATAAGTGGGTTTTCTACATTCCCTCTCATATCCACATGGTACACATCCATATGCAGCTGCTGGTGTGACCTTGGGTCACTCATAAGTTCTTTCAGAGCTGTTCTCTCGAGGGCAATTCGTGAAGGAGCTCTCTCAGCCCCACCTACCTCACAAGGTGTTTGTTGTGGGGAGGGGAAGGAAAAGGAGATTGTAAACTGCTCTCCTTCGGGTAGTGAAGGGCGGGGTATAAATCCAATCTCTATTCTCTACAATATAACCAGTCTCTTTCTATATCCCCAGATACTGCGGAAAAAGGCAGAACAGAAAGATTCTATGTTTTGGAGTCCCTTTACAGATTAGCCAAGCATTTTCAAATTGCAGCCTTCATTATCCTGCAGAGCGCAGGGGGTTGGACTACATAACCTGCAAGGTTCCTTCGAGCTCTAATCTATGATTCTATGGCCCTGTTCATACGAGCCCATTTGGGCCGGGAGCGGGACGGAATGGGGGCGGAGCAAACGGGCGCGATCCCACCTCAACATCTGGGGAGCGTGCTGTCTCCGTCCCTGATCCGTCCCAAATGCCGATACCGCGCCGTAAAAAAGAACCACCTATCTAGGTGGTTGCATCCATTGGAGCGCCTCGAGCTGGGCTGTGGGATCGGCGGCGCATCCTTGCGCCACCGCATCCCGGCCCCCGGCCGTAATGCGCATGCTCGAGCATGTGTAGTTCGGCAGCCTCCCCCTCCCATCGGACTTTTCCTCCCCGGCATCTGATCGTGCCGGGGAGCGATGCGCCGCGGCTCAGGGGATCCGTGGGATCCCGCCCCGGCGTCTCAAGTTTGGAGCGGCTCTGAGTAGCCGCGTTTCAGCCGTCCCGTGTGGCAGGGGCCTATGTTTGTCAGCACAGCCTTCTAAGGTACTTCATTGTATTTTTAAGTATGTGTTCCACCTTTCCTTAAATATTAGAGCCAAAATTAGCTTATAACATGTTAGATACATTGTTTTCCTTTTTCTACATGTGGGGAACTAAGATGGAGGTAGTTTGTTATAGGGAGTGAAATTTCTTCTTCCAAAATTCACTTTTTTGTATAGCCATTGATTCCTCTTTTCCCTTTTAAAACAGGAGTTTCTCTTTGATTTCTCTTTGTAGCTTTCTGTTACACTACATGGGGGTGCTTTATGTGCTTTTTTTTTTGGGGGGGGTGCAAATTTAGTTTTTGCAGGGGGTTTATATTTGTTACACATGGTGCTCTAGCAGGAGGATAGGAAAGTTTGGGAATACATTGCCTGCCTCCAAGCATTTGCATTTTGAAATTGAAATTTTGCAGAACCTCCCTTTCTGAAGCAGAGATTTGAACCATGTAATGGGGGGGGGGGTTGTTCTCTTCATACTTGCTCTTCAACACAACTAAAAGGTTACTTCATGTAACTGTATGTCGAAGCCAATAGATATCCATGACATTTTCATCTCCTCCCTGTAAACAGTCACCTGTTTCCACATCTCATCCCTTTTCTTGTTAAAGTCTCCTGTACCAGGAACATCCAAAAGTACGACCCCTTCTGGAGGCATGTCTGACCCTGGAATGGTTACTTCTGCGTAGCTGATCAGTGGCCAGAGTTTATTGGTGCCTTCAGTCCCAACACGAAGGTAAGGATCCAGTTCGCAGGAGAGCTCTTCTGCCTGTAACACAACAAATAATACACTGAAGAAATCCACTAGCCTTCTAAAAGGTTAATGGTGCGAATGTCTAGAGTTGTCAACTGTCAAGTGTTTTTCCTCCTCATTTGATTTCTTGCATTGAGTTCAACATAATCTGTTTTGTTGATTAAACAAACTAATTTGATCCAAGGGAACTTGGCAGTGGGGGCTGAGTTGATCTCACATCTTGACATGCTGGGCTTCAACTCCTGATCTTCCAGAACCCACCGTGCTCTAGCCCTGATTCATCTGGACCCGTTACGGGATTGTGGGGCATTCATCTATGCTTACCCAGACATAATTAGGGTATTCTGCCAGCATTGCATTGTACAGGTTTATTTTAAGCATTGCTAGTTAATGGTAAAGGTTATATTACTCCTGTTTGTCTGGAGGCTAGCACTCACCACCCAGTGCCTGGGACATGCCCTAACCCCATCCTTCCTGCCGGCACTGCTCACATGGGCTGCAGGACCTCTTGGCATGGTACAGAAACTCCAGCAGCCCACAGGAACCTGCAGAGCTGGGTCTGCACCAGCAGCAGTAACCACAACAAGATTTCTAGTGCTGGCAGAGATGGCGAGTAATAGGCCAGTGAGGCCTTGCCCCAACAGCTTAATGGTGGCCTAGGAGGGCCAATGATGGCTGATACCGCTCTGGCCTAGTGGGCTATCATTACCACCCCAAGCTGGGAGAAAAAGCACCACAAGGCATAAATGGCAGCAAGGGGGCAAGCTGGAGTCTGAGAGGAGTTCACTGGGCTATTTACACCAAGCTAGTCCTGGGCCAAGGAGAACTGGCTGGGGGCTGCTTCAGGAGTGCAAGGCTGCCCAGAAAGAAGGGAAAGAATTCCACAGCAGGTCCCAGGGGGATTAGTGAGGACTGGGGTGACTTCAGCCCATCTCACCTCAAGGACACTGACCAGGTTTGAAGCCCAGCCAGCAACTGACCCCAACACCTGTTTCAGTGCACGGTCATTTATGATGTCTTAGTAGGAATCTCAGTTCTACAGCATGACTCGAGCACATGTTTACCCAGTCAATGTAATCATAGTTGAAGTGTCCCAAGTAGAATAACATTAACTGCTTTAGTCACCTCTATTTCTTTCTCCAACTCGAGATCAGCTTCAAGTGTTTCATCAGATAACCCTTAGGACCCACTATTTCCACTCACATAGCTTCTGTTGAGGAGTTAATTCCCCTGAGGTTTTTTAACTTATTGGATTCTATGCCCTCTTTGATGTACAATGCAACACCTCTACTAACCCATCCGTCCCTTTCTTGCCTATAGAACTTATGACTTTATCCTATAGATTTTTCTTTATCCTATAGATTTTTCCCAACCCACCATGTTTCTGAGACACCTACTATATCTAAATTGTCATTAAACACCAAGCACTCCAGCTCCCCCATCTTGGCTCAGAGACTAATTATGTATTTCTGTCTCTAGCAACCATAATTTCCCTCAGCCCCTTAGTTGCCCCACATGGCCCTCAGTCTCCATTGTGCCCTCACTCCCAATTTCTATTATGCTCATATCGATATAACAAGTCCATGAGAATCTTATCCGTGTGGCTAACTGACTGTCTCTACTTCTTCAGGTCAGCCACCTTGGCCTTGAGGGTGCGAATTCATTCCCTGAGAACCAGGAGCTCCTTGCACTGAAGATACACTAATGACTTCTGTCCAGTTGGCAGATAGTCATACATGTTACACTAAGTGCAATACACTGGATAGCCCCCAGCCCCCTGCTGGCATTCTACCTTCATAATTGTTTTATGGTTTGGTTTGGTTTTTAATTCCCCTTTTTATAAATTTCCTATTTATGTGGATTTGTTTGTGGAAAGTCTGCTTACACTATTAGAGATGTGGAGAGATTAGTGTCCTGGCTTCCTCACCCTGCTGCTGAACTTGTACATCTGCTAAACTTGCCTGTTTATTCCCTTATTCCAGACACTGTCACTGGAGCTGATACACTGGACCAGGCCTACTACTTCATAGAGCTCTTCTGAAAATGCTACCTTTGAGGTCCTAGCCTTTAACTTTCTGCTTAGTAACCTAAATTTTTCCTCCAGGACCACATGATTACATTTCCCAGTGTCATTGGTGCCAATGTGCATTGTAATTGCTGATTCCTCCCCAGCACTATTTGGATGGTTTTAAAGATTATTATTTTCAAATTATCAATGTAATTGGAAAATGTGGCAAAAATTGTTTTTTAATCACTGCATGTGTTTTTATCCTTGTCCCAAACTAAATGGACAAGCCTTGCTCAGATTAATTTCTCCTTTCATGGGTTATAGTGGACATCTGATGCCAGTTCCCTAATTGCGTAACTCCAGATGCTTCCACACCAGGGTGGTTTTCCATGATGTTCAGGATGCTGGTGCAACTATGTGTGAAATCGCCTATGCAACAAACATTCTAGACAGAAGAAGGTAATCCATATTCTCTCCACTGTTAGTCATGGGCTCCGATCACACACAGAAGTTGCCGTGGGATACTCACGGATGTCAGGTGGATTTAACGGGCATGATCACACAAGCACATCTGGCAAGCATCGCACACCCGTTGGCAAGGCGTCACATCCTACCGAAGATCTGGAGTTAAAAGCTACTGCAGAAACTCCACTATTTTACGCTTGCCATGGGCCACAGACAGACGTCCTCCGTCTGATCACTCCAGCACCACATGAAGCGCGCCAGAAACATGCGCCGACAAACTGCTACCCCCGATTCCCTGCCGTTGCATCTGATCATGTCCAGCCAGGTCACAAGTGTGGTGCAGCGAAAAGCCACACCTCCCCCCGCGTTCTCTGGCCAGTGTGAACGGGACCATGGTTTCCCATGTTTGCTGTACACTGAAGCCCCCCACACACACACAAACTGGGGTCTCATGTGACCCCCCTCAGGATTCTCTACCTCTTTTTATTTTGAGGAGTATGGGTAGTAATGCATAGGAATAACACAGTACCTTTAAAAACCTTTGATGGGGAAACTTACAGTCACCTCCAAATGATCCCTTTCCCCTGTCTAAAAGGCAGGCTGAAGACTGGGCACTTTTCTTCACTTTTGTTTTAGACCTCCACAAGTATGAGTAACGCTGCACAGGAATAATGCAATGCCTTTTAAAAACTTTTTCAAAAATCTCCATTTATTTGCAGAGGCACCTCTGAACTATCCCTATCCTCTGTCTAAAAGGCAGGCTAAGGGCCAAACAAAATATTATGGTTGCCACAGGCCCATTTTAGAGGAGATTTTGGCCATTAAAGAAATGCCGTAAGGGCCTGCCCGCAGCATAGGGGGACCAGGAGGCCTTCCCCCCCCCCATGCTTTTTCAAGTAGCAAAACACAAGTAGACTATTTCAGCACTTGAAGAGGCACGGAAGGAAACAAGGTCTCCTTGTTCCCCCCTCCCCACACTACAGGCAGGCCATCATAGAATTTTAAATGGCCAAAAACTTCTCTAAATTGGTTTCAGTAACCATGGGTTGGGCCTGTGGCCACCATGATGTCTGGTTTGGCTCTGAGGTGTGGGAGATTCTCTTCTCTTATGCTAATTTTCAACAATGAAAAAAGAACAATTGACTAGAAGTCCTGCAATTGCTCTTTTTCCCTTTCAGACATAAACTGCCTGTGCCAACAGCATCCTGCACAGGATACACCATGGTATGGGCACAAATAGATGATGTTATGTGGAAACTTGAAAAAATAACATGACTTGGGTATATGAAACACGGAAAATTCTTAGTGTAAAAGTGGGGGGGGGGCATCTCAAAATGTGAGAGCAAACAGAAGACGGCAGCACTCACCTCCTGTGCCTTGATTGAAATTTTTCTTTTTGCCGGAATAGTCACCTGCAGCTTTGTTTTCAACAAGGTTTCATAATCTTTTTCTTCAGCTCCCTCCCCATAAAGAGCATGGAGCTTTTTAATGGCATCCTTCACACAGTCATCATCGTCGTCATCATCTTCATCACTCCCATTCTTGCTCAAAATCTCCACAAGATTCTTCAGCTCTTCTTTCCAGTCCTATCAGTGAAGAAACTTTTAAGCTTAGGCTAGATATAGACATACATAGAAACAGATAGGATGTAAGAAGCAAATTCTGTGGAGCGAATTCTACTTTTCTCCAATTTCATTACTAAACAGACACACGATTAAAGAGTAAAACAAAAATGTGAAACAAAAACAGGCAGCTAGCTAGCATGACTTCCCATCAATCTGTAAAAAAATATATTGTGCATACATGGGTAGCCCTGATTTGGGCTGCAGAAAAACAGAAGGGGGAGATTTTACCCTTCAATCCTGCTTGGCTTCACTAATCAAAACTGTGATGTATTGGAATCCTCACTTGAATCGCCCCATTTACATTCAATGTTAAGCTTGAGCCGGATGAAGGCTCCTCTGAAACACATTGCTATTGGTCAACCTCCCACGGCGACCAATCAGAACTGTACAGTCTCCAGAGAGGGAAAGACTCTCATTGGTCTTTAACTATGCAATCTTATTGGTTGTTAATTGTAAATAGGCGTGGCTATATTAGCCCGGGAATGTTTAAAAGGAGCCTAGCTCCCAATGTTAATCTGTTCTGGTTCCGAATACGTTTGAGTGTTTGTTCGCTTCTTCAAATAAAGCTGAATCACTGAGCTGAGATCACTCTCCGATCCTTTGTTAGCGCGATCTAACAAAAACCACTCTTCCCATTCTGTTATTAATGCTTTAAAGGAAAAGGAGAGAGTAGTGGTGCAGAGAATTCAGTTTCAATTAGCAAAACTGAGAGGAGCGTGAAAGGTTAAATGCCCTCTTTCCTGCATGGGCCTGATCCACATTGTGGCTGCATGTGCATGGAACTTGTTTACAGACTGACAAATCTATGATTTCTATCATATTTTGACCTATAGCTGATTGAAGCATGAAGGAGGAGGCAGACTGTTGGCTTTGCAGTGGGATTTCTATTCAAAGCACCAGGGCTATCCATTTAAACATGTGGTGCATTCTCTCCCACACCTTAAAATTAGCTGGAAAGAGGACAGCTTTGTGTGAATGGTGATTCACCTTGTGCAAATGGTGATTCACCCTGGCTGGCACCCTTCTCTGTTCTCCACTATTTACATCTACCTCGCCTTCTTCCTCCCTGTCCATGAAGTAGCCAGCAGTTGGAATTGAGATAGGTCAATTATTTTGCCATCTGATTGTTGAAATGCTGTTAATGTTTTAACTGATTTTATCTTGTTTTGTTTATGGCTTTTGTACATCGCCCTGAGCCCTGCTGAGGCGGGGGTTGGGTGATTCATAAATATAATATATAAATAGATTCTGAGAAAAAGCAGTCTTCCGTTTCAACCTTAGGCCAAGCTACACATATTGCTCCCAGTTCACATCTCCTCCCACATCTTTTCATTAACATGCTGTGTGAGCTCCCCCCCCTATAGAGACACCCCAAGAGGAATACACCCCCAAATCTTTTAAACTTAAGACGCATTAACTGAGAGGGGAAAACAACAACTGCTTTAAGGCATTCCCAACAGGGAGCAGCCTGATTTCCTGAATACTCTGGAAAAATATCAGAAAGTCTGCTTTCAAAGCTCCTCATACCCTTTTGCCATAAACAATTACCCAGGTTTGCTGGGTAATAACCAGGGTTCGTTTCGTAGAAAAAGAGCTAGGGGAACTCATTAGCACAACTCATTAGCATATGCCACACCCCCTGACATCACCGGATGTGTGTCATAAGACCACACCCCCTGACATCACCGGAAGTGTGTCATAAGGCCATACCCACCACTCAATTAGTCTTAGTCTTAAAGGTTAGTCTTAAAAGTGCTATTTGAACTCTTGGACTATTTTGCAGCAACAGACTAACACAGCTAATTCCTCTGAATCTAAACCCACCACTCAGGCTCCACCCCCAAAATCTCCAAGGTATTGCCAACTCAGAGCTGGCGAGCCTATCTGATGGCACATGTGGGGGAAAACAAGCAAACCACCCATGTCAGGTAAAAAGGATAGAAGTTCAACACAATTTTATCTATTTTCAGTAACTGGTTTGTTGAGAGAAAAGCAACAACAAGCACATCAGTGAAGACCTAGTACCAGAGTGCCAAAAAGGAAAGCTGTTTGGTAATAGATGAAGTACAAAATATGTAGCTATTCACATTCCAGTTACCAGGAGTGTTCCCTCTAAGCTGAGTTAGTGTGAGCTAGCTCACAGCTTTTAAGCCTCTGGCTCACATATTTTTCTCTTCACTCAGGAAGGAGGGCTCCAGAGGCAAACTAACTGATGCAGTAGCCAAATCACTCGCTCACAGCTTTAATGCCAGTGGCTCACAAAGTAGAAATTTTGCTCACAAGACTCCACAGCTTAGAGGGAACATTGGTAGGCAATTCCAGGGAGAAAAAACAGCTATAAACCAAGGCCAGCTATAAACCAAAACAGCTATAAACCAAGCATGGGGGCAGATGACCACATTGCTACGGAAAATACACAGAAAATCCAGGCATTTATACTTTGTTTTCACTCCAAAAAGCCCCATCAGGGGCCCGGCGGTGGACTTGCAAGGCCGGCGGGAGTGCGAGGAAGCCCCACCAAGTTCCCCCGGCCCCCAATGGTCCTGGCCACCGCTGGTCTTGCGGCTCCACTGCCGAGCCCCATCAGGGGCCCGGCGGTGGACCTGCAAAGCCAGCGGGAGTGCAAGGAAGCCCCGCCAAGGCCCTCCCTGGCCCCAGGCAGGCAGGGGTGGGGAGAGGCGGGGAGGAAGCAACTTACCCTCCCTCTTCTCCTGCCTCCTCCTGGCTGAATGAGGGCCGGAAGCAGGGGGCGGGGCTTCGTCGTGTGCCCTGCCTCCTGGCACCTCACCCAGGGGAACGGCGATCCCCTGCGGTTCCCCCTGAATCGACCTCTGGTAATAACCAAAGCTCTTGAAATGCAACCGATGAAGAAGCCTGCTCTCATGAACTCTGCAGCCTGTACCCAAGATCCCTTCTTCCTGTGATTCTCAAGGCACCTCACGTTTAGGATAATGTATGACTTGATGCTGGCAGGTATATAACCCATAGTGATAAATGCACCTAACTTTATTAATACCATCAATCACACACCCCCATCAGACCCATCTTGAGTACATTTATTCAGGTGCTCATTCTATAGGTTGGTAGCACCATCTTATCACAGCCTGGACCTAGACTAGTAGCGATAGGGTCCCAGATCTTAAAAAGACACCAATCATAAGATAACCAAAAGTCCACCAAAATGCAACCAGAATCCGAGGTTTAGTCCAAATGCCACTGCAGATCCTAGTTCTGCTGCAGAACTTCTGCACCACAAAAGGCAATAGCAGACTTCCTCCACTAGCACCTGGGGTAAATCCAAGTGCATAAGAAGTACCCAAGCTATAAAGTACTGAGTTTGGACACATTGAGTAGTGATCAGTTCATGCTTTATTAAGTAGGGGGGGGGGAGACAAACTAGTGAGGCCCGAGCCCCACTTATATCCCTGTAGTACCCCACACCCAACACACACCCTAACACCAGTGATAGGCTATTTACAGTGGAGGAGTCCATCATAGGTCTACTCTAGGATCTGGGAACTCCAATTGGTCCACCCTAGGATCCAAATCATCTATTGTTCTAGCACCCGAAGGTGCTCTTGACCGCATGGTCTCGCTAGCGCTGATGTGGTCATCTCAGTATATAACACAAGCCCTCCCTCTTTGTTGATGATTCTGCTTCCAGACCATCTTCCAGTGCTGAAATCACAGGATTCCTCCCCCTTCTTCCACAGCCACTGGATGCTGACCCTCTTTTATCAAGACAGGTAGAAGATGTTTTTACTTCTTCCATTTTAAAAAAATTAAACAATGTATCACTTTGTTGTTGTTGTTGTTCAGTCTCGCACTCAAATCCGACTTTTTGCAACCCCATGGACCACATCATGCCAGGCCTTCCTATCTTCCACTGTCCTCCAGAGTTTGCTTAATTTCATGTCCATTGCCTCGATAACACTGTCTAACCATCTCATCCTTTGCCGTCCCCTTCTTCTTTTATCTTCAATCTTTCCCATCATCAGGGTCTTCTCCAGTGAGTTCTCCCTTCTCATTTGGTGGCCAAAGTATTTGAGCTTCAGCTTCAGTATCTGGCCTTCCAGGGAACAGTCAGGGTTGATTTCCTTTAGGATTGACTGATTTGATCTCCTTGCAGTCCAAGGGCCTCTCAAGAATCTTCTCCAGCACCATAATTTGAAAGCATCTGTTCTTCGGTGCTCAGCCTTCCTTATGGTCCAACTCTCACAACCATACATTACTACTGGGAATACCATTGCTTTGACCATATGGACTTTTGTTGGAAGGGTGATGTCTCTACTTTTTATTATGCTGTCTACGTTTGCCATAGCTTTCCTCCCAAGGAGCAGGCTTTTTTTAATTTCATGGCTGCAGTCACTGTTTGCAGTGATCTTGTCCTTCACATGAGAGGCCTGACCTCGGGAGTGACTTAGGTAAAAATGCAGTCAAAGGTGCATAACATGGTGTCATCATGTACATTCTTCACACAAAAAGCACAAGTGCAAAAAAAGAATCAAAGGCCATCTTAGTGATTTACTTCTCCCCAAGAACAAACCTGTCTGGGGACCAGAGTCAAAATCATAGAGTTGGAAGGGACCTCCAGTGTCATCTAGTCCAACCCCCCTGCACAATGCAGGAAATTCACAAATACCTACACACACACACGCACACAGTGACCCCTGCTCCATGCCCAGAAGATGGCAAAAAAAACCCCTCCAGGATCCCTGGACAAACGGGTCTGGAGAAAATTGCTTCCTGACCTCAAAGTGGCAATCGGCATTTCCCTGGGTATTTAAGAAAGGGCCACAAGAACTAAGCACTGAAGCAACCCTTCCTGCCCTCCCTCTCATGATCTGCCTAAGTTCACAGAATCAGCATTGCTGTCAGATGACCATCTAGCCCATGGGTGTCAAACATGCGGCCTGGGGGCTGGATCAGGTCCCCAGAGAGCTTCTATCAGGCCTGCATTGGAACTGGCCATCTCCTGCTTCCAGTTCTGATGCTGCTGCATCATAGCTTGCTTCACCAGACTCTCTCAATCGCTCAGCCATTTCATATTTTCCCCTGGGTCCTAGTCTCAGAACTCTGAGCATGAGATCTTTGTGGTGAATGTCAATAAATCAAAAGTAGGTTTGCAGCTTACAGAGACACACTCAAACAGCATACTCAAAATTGCAACAGCACAGACATTTTTATGCAATAATTCAGAGCAAGAGGTGTCAGTTATCAGATACTGTTAAATAAATGAAATATTGCAAGAGTGCTAATGTTTTAAGCATGTTTTTATTTTAAGTAAAAAAAATCTTTGTGTTTGTGTCTTTTATAAAGTTTATATCTCTGCTACCTGGCATTATAACACACATGGCCCGGCCCAACAAGATCTCATTTAGGTCAGATCTGGCCCTCATTGATTTCATTTCAACCCATTGGTTCTGGTACAGCTTTCTGGGGCAACAGACAACAACTCCACACCATCCTCTAGATGACAGACCTTCAAGTACTTGAAGATGGTTATCATATGATCTCTCAGTCGTCTCCTCCCCAGGCTAAATATACACAGCTCCTTCAACCTTTCCTCATAGGTCTCCAGACCCCTCACCATCTTCGTTGCCCTGCTCTGGATATGTTCCAGCTTGTCTATCTCCTTTTTAAATTGTGGTGCTCAAAACTGAACACCATACTCTAGGTGAGGTCTAACCAGAGCAGAGTAAAGCAATACCATCACTTTGCGTGATCTGGACACTATACTTCTGTTGATACAGCCCAAAATCACATTTGCCTTTTTAGCTATGGCATCTCACTGCTGCCTCATGTTCAGTGTCTGGTCTACTAAGACCTCTAGATTCTTTTTGCACATGCTACTGCCAAGACAAGTCTCTCCCATCCTATAATTATGCATTTGAGTTTTCCTACCTAAATGTAGAACTTTCAGTTTATCTCCATTGATATTTATTTTATTTGTTTTAGGCTAGCCCAGTTTTCAAGCCCTGTATCCTGACTCTCTTCTACCATATTTGCTACCCCTCCTATGGGATCTATGTTATGGCATGAGGGATAGGGATGAAGGTTTCTTTTGAGAAGTGCATTTCACATGTGTCAGATCTGTACCAGAATTTGCATTGCAGTCTGAAATCAATTCCAACATAAGGGCTCCCTGATTACCCAATTTATGCCAGTCCCTTTACTTCATAGAGAGTAATTGTACTCACATCATCTGAGAGAAGATGGATAGTGCCTTCGTACGGACCAGCCTTTTTTGTTTTTATTTGTATCACACATGCAGTGCAAGTACTGTCCCCAGACACTGGCAGGAACAATTTCTTCCCTAGAACGGCATTGAGCAAAGAGGTCTTCCCTGCTCCTGTTCGCCCAAAACACCCAATGTGTATGGGGTCCAAGGAAGTCTTTTCTGTCAAGGTACTCAAACGGTTCCTGTGGAAGAGAGGGAGAGAGATTTTATGCAGGCAGCAACAGCAGGAACTAATATGAACTTTTTTCATTTCAACTGTTCTACATACCCCCAAACCTCAGAAACTTCATCCATAAAATAAGAGAAAAGCAGTCTGCTAACCTCTAACTGTTGCTCTTTGAGTGGTTATCTGTGCATTCACACTGATGGACTTTGTGCCTGCACAGAGCTCAGTTTTGGAAATTTCTAGTCCTACAAAATAGGCATGAAAATCTCCTCTCCACAGCCCCATAAAATCAGTCCACTCAGGCTCCAGGGGAAGAAGTTGCACATTTCCCACTCAGTTCCTTCTTACTTAAGAAAGTACGCCACAGGAAAGTGGAGCAGCTGCTGCAGGGAATGCGGGAAGGCCATGTGAATGCACAGATGCCCATTCAAAGAACAACAGTTGCAGGTAAGTAACCTCGTTTTATTTATTTGTGGGTCTCTGTGCATCACATTGATGAGTGAAGATGAACAAGCTGACCTACCTGGAGGCTGCTGCAGGTGCCATTAGGAGAGGAGAGAGTGGAGAACGGTTCATCCAAAGAATAGTCCCAATTTGCCCTGGTATGCAGGGCATAGCATTTAATGAAAGTGGACAGTTAAGCCAAGTTGCTGTACAACATAGATCAGGTAAAGGTATCCCTCTCTTGAAGGTTGAGGAGGTAGCCATTGGCCTGGTAGAATGCACTTGAACATTGGAAGGTGAAAGCTTCTGAGTTAGTTGGTAGCCTTCCGACCTGAGGGGCTCATCTTCCGGCGTCATATCTTTTAGCCTTTTGATACTGTCCATGGGGTTTTCTTGGTAAAGATACTGGAGTGGGTTGCCATTTCCTTCTCCAGTGGTCTGAGTTCTCTGCTGTGGCCTGTCCGTCTTGGGTGGCCCTCCACGGCATAGCCCACAGCCTCATCGAACCACGCAAGCCCCCTCGCCACGTCAAGGCAGTGATCCAAGAGGGAGGATCTACAACTACTGCCATGCATTTGATGAATACTCCTAGGGCAGTGGAGAGGCCACAGGGCAGCACTTTGTGTGCATCTTTTTCCTATAAAGAGGTGGTATTAAGACATGCAGGCACCAGGCTCTGGCAGTGTAGGTTTTGTGACCAAAGTCATCTAACTTTCTACCCTCACAGTCTATGGGTGTGGACAGGGATGTCTGCTTGCCCTTCCCCGGTGCTATCTCAACTACCATTGTGTTCAGAGGCAGGTAAGAAGAGAGGAAGGGGCAGGATTCAGTGGATATGATAAAGATTGTCTTTCTCCAGGATGACAGTGGGACGGAAGCTCGTTTCTCCCAGGATTCCTTTGCTAGATCCAAAAGCTGGGAGACTACAGAAGAAGGCAAACAAGATGATGAAGAGTTGGAGTACCTTTCCTATGGGAAAAAGCTGGAGAGTCTGAGACTTTTCAGTCCAGAAAAAGAGATGGCTAAGGGGAGATATGCTAGAGGTTATAAAATCATGCATAGGTTAGAGAAAGTGGAGAGACCCTCTCCTATAACACTAGAACTTGGGGCACCCAATGACATTGTTGGGAAACACATTCCTTACAGACAAAAGGAAATACATCTTTACTTAATGCCTAATTAAACTGTGGAATTCACTGCCCATGGGTGATGTGATGGCCACAAACATAAATGTCTTTAAAAGGGCATTAGATAGATTCATGGAGGAGAGGTCCATCAGGGACTAGCAGCCATTGTGACTGAAGCCTACATATAAAGAGGCAGAAAATGTCTGAATACAAGTTCTAGGAGGCAGCATCCACTGGGGACCTTGGCCTCTATGCCCTGTTTGTTGGCCCTCCAGGGCAACTGGCTGGTTTCTGTCACAGTTCCCTCTAAGCTGCTCCAGGGGACACTGGCGCACAACATTTCAGAGGCCAGCTCAGAGGATTTCTGTTCTTCTCACAACCAAGCTTCTATAGGAAGCAATGGAGGATAGGGGCACCTCCTTCTGGAGCCCATAGAATTGGACCCCCTGGTCTAATCTTTTTGAAACTTGGGGGGGGGGGGGTTTAAGAGAGGCACCAGCAGCTATGCTGCAAATTTGGTGCCTCTACCTCAAATAACGGGGGCCCAGCCCCAAACACCCCTGGATCGATTCTCCATTATAGCCTGTGACTCAAGGCAGCTTACAAATCATACTGGAAAGCATAGTACTGAAAAGCATAATAGGGGTGTGCAAAAAAATCATTTTGTCCCCCCCCCCGGTTCAATGATTTGTAAGCTGCCTTGAGTCACAGGGAAAAGTGGGTTATAAATATTTGAATAAATAAGTAGTTTGGGCAGGTTGATAGCATTTAAGCAACTGAGGGACTTGGGAATGTTTAGTCTGGAGAAGAGGAGGTTGAGGGGAGACATGATTACTCTCTTGAAGTGTTTGAAGGGCTGTCCCTTAGAGGAGGGGAAGGAGCTGTTCCTGTCAGCAGCAGAGTATGGACCTCACAATAATGGGTTTAAATTAAGGGCAGGAAGGTATCGGCTGGATCGTAGGAAAAACTTTTTGACAGTAAGAGTTGTGAAACAGAGGAATCAGCTGCCTAGGGAGGTGTTGAGCACCCCCTCACTGGCAATCTTTAAGCAGTGGCTGGACAAGCACTTGTCAGGGATGCTCTCTAGGCTGATCCTGCATTGAGCAGGGGGTTGGACTGGATGGCTTGGATGGCCCCTTCCAACTCTGTGATTCTATGATTCCTGCTTGTTTGGTTAGGTGGCGTTCTGACAGGATTGTTCCATCTTTGTTATACTTGACCTGTAATGCTGGTTGTCATATTTCACTAAAAAAAACACAAGGTAGACTGCAAGAGCCCCCCCCCCCCCTATGTTTTCTAAGGCTGAGTGCAGGGCGACAGTCCAAGGCCAGGTCTACCAATATAGTGGAAAGGGGAGGGTAGATCTGTTCTCTGAAGGCCAGATCTACTAATACAGTGGAAAGGGGAGGGTAGACCTGTTCTCCGGAGGCCAGGTCTACCAATATAGTGGCAAGAGGAGGGTAGACCTGTTCTTCAGAAGCCAGGTCTACCATTATAGTGGAAAGGGGAGGGTAGACCTGCTCTCTGGTGGCCAGGTCTACCCCCATAGAGGACAACATTTTCTGTAATGAAATTTGACTTGATTCTGTTTTCTCTTATAATGTTTACATTATTCTTAAAATATAGTTTAAATATAGTTTAAAAGAATTCATTCTGAGATTTTTACAAGGTTATGGAAATCTAAAAATTATTTATGAAATAGTGAAATGTGGACTCACTCACAACTTTAACGTTACTAGCTTTTTCATTCATAAGGTAGAATTTCTGCTCACAACACTGTGGAGCTTAAAGGGAACATTGGTTGCTGCATGAAAGAGGCTGTTGGACTAAATGAGACACTGGTCTGATCCACTAGCATCTAAGAGATCGTTTCTACGTACATAGATCAAATATCCCATATACAGGTTAGGTGTGCACCCTTGTGAAGAAACGCACAAGTCGTGTACTCCTATATTCTGTATGAACAATACCCTGATGAAGTTCTGCCTGGACCTGTACTACAATTGCTGTCATGGGTGAACACTAATTAAGTCTTTGAGGAATTTGTCAGGGAACATTCATTAAATGAGCACGTCACTTGTAAAAAGTTTGGGAAAGCTGCTCCTTTGAATTACTGCTCCCAGAAGCCCAATGTCAAACTGAAGGATTATGGTGAAGTGTGAGTTTAGACAAACTAATTTGTTACCAGAATACCATGTGAGATTATACAATGTCTTTACTGTTCCCATGGCACAGGAGTTACACTTCAGTTTAGCATTTCCATGCATTTTGAAACATGGGTTAATTTGTAAGTGGCTTAGGCCTTCTCTTAAACTAAAGTGCTTTTTACATAATGTGCTTTCATCATGTTTCTAGACTTACTCTGCAGATATTGGTTTCTTTTGCTCCTTACGTAGAATGTATATACTAAAGTGTCGGTCAAACAGTGCTAGTCCTACTGGCTTCTTTGTCGGTTCTGAACCCTTGGTCCAATCAGGGAGCTGTCACGGGAGGTTTGAAGCAGGAGTTTTAGCTTTGAACAAATTATAGTTCCAATTTCTGCTACCACATTTAAAGATACATCTGAACAGAACTCAGGAAGAAGACTCACTTCAAATAGTTAATTTCATTTTCTGTGTCATCTTGAGATAAATCTTCAACCAATTTGTCATATGTTTCCTTGACAATCTTCCTTGCCTTTGATTCCCACTTTTCATCTGAAGAGCAGAATAAAAGAAAGAATTTGTAACTGAATGATTCTGGGACAAAATGATGGTCTCATTATACAAGCAAAGACTTGACAACTATTTGGTATAGAAGACAACTGATTTAAATAATGCAGTTTATTCCAGTGGGGCAGCAATCATCTGCAATTTTGTTGTGCAGTCATGGAATTTGGTACCCGGTGCAGAATTCAGTTTACATGGTCATGTGGCCAGCATGACTAAATGCCAGAAACGGAGATGGGCACCGCCCCCTAGAGTTGGATTCGACTGGCTTTCAAGCAAGGGAAACCTTTACTTTTACTTTTTTACGGAATTCAGTGTGGTGAATCAACATTTTGTGATAATGCATGAGAGGCAACTGCTGAAATCTCAGAAGAAAGAATATGTTCAGAATGGCCAGTGATCGGGTAAAGGAACTCAGCCAGCTCCATGCCTCTCTTCCATGGCGTGTGTTAAATCTTGTCTATCTTCCACAGCCTATTCGATCTCACAATTTCTTTAAGTCTTTGCTAAAATAATTCCAAATTGTTTGAGAAAGCCATGCAAAAAATGTTCATCAAGTGATCTGATTCACATAATCCTCTATACAGCATATGATCTACCTTATAACAAAATTTAAATTATTTTACTACTACGAAGAGTCTTGGTACTGCAAGGAAGATGCTAGCAAATGGTGGCAAGTGGTTCTTTGCTGTCCACACTAGCCGTCTATCTTGTTGCATGGTGTTTAGCACATTCTGCACTACTCTTAGTTGTATGGGTCCTGATTATTACTGATTGTACATCACCTCACCTGCCTTCTTTACCAGAAACATAAGGCATTAATGTTATAAATTAATGAATGTTATAAATAAATCTATATACAAAATCCCCCAACCTAACTTCCAGACTGGGACTGTGGTTCCATGATAAAGTTTCTGCTTTGCATGCAGATAGTCTCAGGTTCAGTTCCTGGCATCTATTGTTAGAAGGATCAGACAGGAGATGACGTGAAAAACCTCTGCGTAAAATTCTGAAAAGCTGCTGCCATTCAGAGCAGCCAACGCTGACCTTGATATGGTCTGACTCAGGGACCTGACTCGTTTTTAAAAAGTCTCATGTAGTTTGGCCTTCAGTATAAGGAAGTTTCATGTGTTCATGAACCAGGAAAAAAATAATATGTTTCTTTGCAGAGTGGTAAGGAGTGGAGAATACAGGCTGGTTTTCTGTGCTGGATTCACAGGAGGAGTCTGGGCACAATTAGGCAAGACACAAAAGCACCCATGGGCAGGAGTGATTTGGACTGAAGTGTCAGCACTGGGGTGGGAGATTCCTTTCTCTTTTCCTGCGCCCACCCCAGGCCCACAGCCACTTTTTAATAAAATGAGAGACATTAAAAAATCTTTTGTCTGATCTAGCTGCACCTTAAAGAATGAAGTACCCTCACATCCCAGCCCTGAGGAAGGATAATGGCTAGGGTTGCCAGCCTCCAGGTGGGGCCTGGAGATCTCCCGCATTCACAACTGATCTCCAGTTGACAGAGATCAGCTCCCCTGGAGAAAATGGCTGCTTTGGAGGGTGGACTCTGTGGCATCGTACCATGCTGAGGCCCCTCCCCTCCCCAAACCCCGCCCTCTCCTGGATCCACCCCCAAAGTTTCCAACCCGGACCTGGCAACCCTAATAATGGCTCTGCTCTGCCGGACTCCACCCTGGTCACATTCCGCCCCGGCCATCCCTCTCGACCGCCATCCCTGGAGTGAATTTTTGTCACCCTTCCCTTCAGACTTACATTTCTTCAGCCTGTCTTTCTCCACCAGTCCAAAGCCCTGGTAGCTGTTACTTATCTTCTTTCGCTTACGAGGTGTTTCACGTGAGCTTCCTCCCTCCGCACCTAATCAGATTTATAAACAGTGTTCCACAGTTAGCAAGATTTCAGCAAGAACGAACAAAAGCAAAGGGTTAGATCTGAAGGCTTCTTCCAAGAGACACAAACGGCACTCCCGCTCAGGCTAAATGTACGTCATTTTCCGTACCTCTCCCTGCTAGCGGCCCCTGAAACTTCACTCGTAACTAGAAGCTGCATTTTGGGAAGCCGAGCAGGCTGCATTTGGAAGAGAGGTTTAGATGCCCCCCTGCCAGGATCAAGCAAGGGGTGACCCTCGCCCCATGTGCGGTGGTAAAGAATCATCCCAGATGCCAGAAAAATGGGGCAGGAACAACCAGTGTTCCCTCTAAGCTGAGTTAGTGTGAGTTAGCTCACAGTATTTTAGTCTCTAGCTCACACATTTTTTGCCACAGCTCAGGAAGGATGGCTCCAGAGCAAACTAATTCATGCAATAGCCAAATCACCTGCTCACAACTTCAGTGTCAGTAGCTCACAAAGTAGAATTTTTGCTCAGAGGGCTCCACAGCTTAACGGGAACATTGGGAACAACTGGTGGCAGGAGCCTCTTCTTCTTGCTGCCCCCTTTTGGAGGATAGGACTATGGGTGGTTGATCACCCCAAATGCGGGACCCAAGGCAGCCTTCTCCAATAGGGCATTGGTGGGAGAAGTTTGTAGAGCTGCTATGTGGTCTTCCTTGTCCACATGATCCATCAGACACTATAAGATAAATGTGTTTGACTCTGCTGATGCAGCATTCGGGAGAAGGGTGCTACAATCTGTCCTGTCTCTTAATGACGACCTTCCCTCCCGCTTTTAAGGTACACTGCTCTGGGAGGTCCCACAAGAGGGCGGTGGCGACACAGCTGCAGGGCTTCCTAGATGACACTTCCGCCCTCGACCCATTCCAGTCCGGCTTTCGCCCTGGGCATGGAACAGAGACTGTATTGGTTGCCCTTACTGACGACCTCTGCAGACATCTGGATCGAGGCGGTGTGGCGGCACTGTTGTTGCTCGGCCTGTCGGCCGCTTTTGATACGGTCGACCATCAGTTGCTTGCCCAACGTGGGGATTCAGGGGCTCACTCTTCAATGGCTTGTCTCTTTTCTCCGAGGTCGGGGACAGAGGGTGGAATTAGGGGAGCAATGGTCCCGGAGGCACCTGCTTGAATGTGGGGTGCCTCAGGGGGCAGCTCTCTCCCAGATGCTATTTAACATCTATATGCGCCCCCTCACCCAGATTGTCCGGAAGTATGGGCTTAGGTGTCATCAATATGCCGATGACACCCAGCTCTATCTGATGTTGGGCGGCCAGTCGGACTCCGATCCAGAAGATCTGCACCGGGCATTGCAGGCCGTATCTGGATGGCTCAGGCTGAGTCGGCTGAAGCTGAACCCGGCAAAGACAGAGGTCCTGTGCCTGGGTTGGAATGGGATGGGATTGGGGCTCCCGCTCCCAGCCTTCGATGGGGCGCCTTTGGTGCCAGCTTCAGAGGTTAGGAGCTTGGGAGTGCTCCTGGACTCCACCTTAACGATGGAGGCCCAGGTGGCAGCCACTGCCAAAGCAGCCTTCTACCATCTTCAGCTGGTGTGGCAGTTGGTCCCCTTCCTCAGCCGCGAAGACCTAGCCACAGTGATCCATGCGACGGTCACCTCGAGGCTAGGGCCAGATGGATTTACTGCAAAGTTTTATAAAAAGTTAAAAGTGGAGCTAACTCCGGCCCTGGAGACTTTATCCAACGAAATAAGAGAAACTAAGAAGGTGCCTGATTCATGGAAAGAGGCAATTATATCATTGATACCCAAAGAAGGACAAGACCAGACCAACGTTAAGAACTACAGACCGATTTCGCTTTTGAATAATGATTACAAAATATTTGCCAAAGTTATTGCAGAAAGGATGAAAAAATACCTACAAGTTGTGATCTCAGAAGAACAAGCTGGTTTTTTACCAGGGAGGCAAATAAGAGACAATTTAAGAACGGTAATGGACGCAATAGAATACTATGAAAAACACCCAGAGAAAAAAGTAGCTTTTTTGTTTGTGGATGCAGAAAAAGCGTTCGATAATTTAAATTGGGACTTTATGTTTCAAATGATGGAAAAAATTGAAGTAGGACAACACTTTAGTAACGTGATGGAGGCGATCTATTCAGACCAAACGGCTAAACTAAATATAAACAAAGAATTAACAGATCGCCTCAAAGTACAAAAAGGGACGAGACAAGGTTGTCCTCTCTCTCCACTACTGTTTATTTGGGTATTGGAAGTGCTACTGCAGAAGATACAGGAAGATGGAGAGATTAAAGGACTGAATCATAAAGGATACAAATACAAATATAGAGCATTTGCAGACGATGTGATGTTCATAGTGGAAAATCCAAGTGAGAAATTGGCGTTGTTATTCCAAAAAATAATGGACTTTGGCGAATTGGCAGGATTTTATGTGAATAGAAATAAAACTAAATTGTTATGTAAAAACATGACAAAAAAGAAACAAGCTGAATTGCAAGAACTGGTACATTGTGAGGTTGTAAAAAAGACAAAATATCTGGAAATTGAGTTAACGGGGGAAAACATTGATCTGTATAAAAATAATTATGAAAAATTGTGGAACAAGTTAGCTCATGACTTTAAAAAGTGGGATAGTGTGAGTTTATCTTTAATGGGCAGAATCGCAGTGGTAAAAATGAATGTTTTACCGAGACTGATGTTTTTATTTCAAACTATCCCGATACTGAGTAAGACAGATCTATTGACTAAATGGCAAAAAGAGATTTCGAAATTTGTCTGGGCAGGCAGAAAGCCCAGAATCAAAATGAAAGTTCTTTGTGATGCTAAAGAAAGAGGAGGATTGCAACTTCCAAACCTAAGACTATACTATGAAGGTGTTTGTTTAACCTGGATGGAACAATGGGTGAGATTGGAAAACAAAAAACTGCTAGTCTTAGAAGGTCATGATTGTAGGTTTGGTTGGCATGCTTACTTATGGTATGATAAGATAAAAATGGACAGCTTTTTTAAGCATCACTTAGTGAGACGCTCTATTTTTGCGACGTGGACAAGATATAAAAAATATTTTCGAGACGCAAGACCACTTTGGATTGTACCAGGAGAAGTTTTGACACCATATTCAAGACAGCATGGCGAAGAATGGTTGCCTTATAAAGACTTAATTGAAAAGAAAGGAACAGAATGGATAATGAAAGAGCAGAAGGAAATACAATATAACTATGGTTGGTTGAAATATATGCAGATCTATGACATTTTTAAAGCAGATAAGAAAAAGTATGGTTTTAGAGAGGATAAAAATGAGGTAGAAACGGTTTGGGAAAGTGGAGGGAGAAAAACGGTTTCTAAAATGTATAAAATATTGTTAAAATGGTTTACTGAAGACGAAAATGTAAAAGAGCAAATGATAAAATGGGCGATTAACATGAATAAGGAAATAACAATAGACTTGTGGGAATATTTGTGGAAAAACTCTATTAGAATCTTGACTTGTACTAATGTAAAAGAAAACTGCTATAAAATGATGTATAGATAGTACATGACACCTAAGAAAATAGCAAATATGAACCAGAATTTGTCTAGTAAATGTTGGAAATGTAAAAAACATGAGGGCTCATTTTATCATATGTGGTGGACATGTGACAAAGCTGTGGAATTTTGGACAAAAGTCCACAGTGAAATGCAAATGATATTGAAATGTTCTTTCAAAAAGGCGCCGGAAATTCTGCTCTTAGGACTGAAAATGGAAGAACTAAATGTAATGAAAAAAACTTTGTCTGGTATTTGATAACTTCCGCGAGAATAGTCTATGCTCAATGCTGGAAACAAGAGAAAATACCAGAAATAGAAGACTGGATACAAAAAGTTCTGTTCATGGCAGAAATGGACAAGATAACTAGAAAGTTAAACAACAAAGAAGACCAAGAATTTTTCGAAGGATGGAAAGACTTTAAACTGGGATGTGAAACGAAATTTACTATGTCTAGAACAATATTAATCCAAATGATGTTATCTTGAGAACCACTGAATATATATGTCAAAAGGGGGAAGCATTGCGGGAAGCCATTTGGGGGGAAGGGAGGGAAAAGGATGGGATTGGTTTACTGAAAACTATTTTATAATGTTTGATAATATCCATGAAAATAAAAATTTGGTTTACCAAAAAAAAAATTTCAGTGCTGAGAGACTGCGCAAGGTGGTGGACCGAGTGGACCTAGGAGTGGCTGTTTATTATTGTATGCAATGTCAACCAAGCATTCAAAAAGATCTCCAGGAAACTTAATTAGCAGAAGGAAAGTTTTCTAAAACTTTTTCATTATGCCATACCTCCTGGGCAGTTCAGCGGCATCTGCATCTCGCCTTGTTCAGAGGTGGAGGGATTTTCAGATGCCATTGTCTACCTAAAGAAATAAAAGAGAATCAATGCAATTATGATTTTTATGGATTGACCCAAAATGAGAATAGTCAGAAATTATCAGCTGACATAAAATGAGTGGACAGTAAGTAGCCTGGGAATTCACAGAAGCAATAGACTGCTGGCCATCATCATCCCCCACCCACTGCCCCCAATATCTCTTCCTTCCATAGGAGCTGGAGTGCTTAATGCTGCTCCTTCCCTCCTTATTTGCACAGGTGCTTAAAGGCAAGGAACAGACCCACGGTACATCAGGAAGCACCACTGTACATCATAATGTACCACTTTAGTTTATCTTCAAAAAAAATATGTAAATAAAGAAGGGAAAGAGCTCTGGCTGTTCCACGATCTGGATGGCACCGTCGGTAGGAGCCAGTGGCAATGAAGGGCAGAGAGTGGTGGCAGGCAGTGGTTGCTTTAGCAGCCATTTCTGCCCAAAAATCTTGCTCATCCTCGGACTTGCTCGTTGCTTTGTGGTGTACAGCTTTGTTGGCCCCCTGTTGGATTGGAACCAGGTTTTGATGCACTTCTTGGGTTGCTTTCTCAGCGGTCTCAGCAGCGACAGCCTCGGAGTAGGCCACGGCATAGGTGAGAGCCGTTCGTGCGAACAATCATTGTTGTAGGTTCTCGTCCCTCATGCCACAGATGAGTCGGTCGAGGAGTGCTTCCTCTAGGTTGGTGAAGTTGCACGGGCGTGCAGCCTTCCGCAATGCCGGTACGTACTTGGCAACTATCTCGGTCACAGCCTGGGACCGCTTGTAAAATGCATGTCTGCTAGCGATCTGTGAGGGTTGTGGTGCAAAATGCCCCTGCAGTTTCAGTTTGAGGTCTGCCAGAGACACGGTTTTGATGTCAGCTGGGGTGACCAGGGACCGAGCGACGTCGAAGACAGCCCTTCCGCAGGCGCTGAGGAGCGTCGCCTTCTGCTGGTCCTCACCTTCAATCTGGTTAGCCTGGAGGTGGAACTCGAACCTGGTCAGGTAGGAATCCCAGTCCTCGAGGTCGGGATCGAATGCCTCGAACCTTGGGTTGACAGCCATCACTGCTCTCTGTGCTGGCACTGGCACAAGGGCTGCAGCTGCTTGATCAGCCGCGTCTCGTTCTTCCGCCCTCGGTTCTACAGGGGCTTCTCGGTCATCCGCCGTCTTGGCGTTGGGTCAGCAGGGCTGCCTACCCGCTCTATAATCGCATCCTTGTTGCCAATTGTTAGATACGAGACTCAGGCAGCAGGTGAACAGTGATTAACAGCTTTATTGAACACGAAGTCAGAAGAACCAGAACAAGACAAATCAATGGAGCAACAGGCTCCTTTTTAAACTGTCCGGGCTTGGCAAGCGACGCCCAAATGTCAGCTAAGGTCCAATCACATACTGTACATAAAGGCCAATAATTTATCATCCCTCCAGAACTTCCTTTGTTCTGATAGGTCTATTTACAATACCTTTCTAAACTCAAGCTCAGTACATTCTTTCCATTCCATTCCATTCCATTACATTACATTACATTATATTACATAACAGCAACAGAGAGAATCGTCTTCAGCCAGACTTAGAATCTGACATGGAAATAAAAAGGCTGGCTAAATGTGGCTGCTGCGAGGCGAGACAACTAGGTGTGCCTCACTAAAAGGTTCATCCTGAAGGCAGAATTTCTGATTTGCTGAAATCACTCAGCACTTCTGACTAGCAAAGAAAGGCCAACACTTGTGACATGGAGAGCAAACCATCATAAATGTTTGACAAGTTTGACACTGTTGAGCTACAATGGCTCCTTAAGTGCATTGCCTGCACATGCACAGATAATGCAATTGTACATGGAGGGATTGAACCCCTCTATATATTTTTTATTTAAGATTTTTCTGCAAACTTGGACAGTTCTC